AAAAAAAAAAAAAAAAAAAAAAAAACTAATGAACAATAACATTGTTGATGAATCCCTACTGCTAGTAATATTTCATTGAATCTGGAGAAAGAAAATTCAAAAAACCAAGTAAACAGAGAAACTAGATAGCAAGGTTCCATCAAAAGAAGATACTGAACTATCATACATTATCAAGGGACAATGTAAATTCTTGCAACTCAGTGATCGAGACCCACTTAGAGAAACTCTCAGAGATACCAATGCATCTCACAGCAATATGAACGAAAATGTATGGATTCTAGATATAAATGGAGTTCTCAAAGTTACTACTATACCAATCCCTCATGGCATATGCTTTCAGCAGTTCTATACATGGATCAATTTCCCTTTATTCATTGTAAAATATAATGATATAGGGACATAAAAGGACCAGAGTAAATAACCAAATTGAGGCTTAAAAGTTCAAGAAAATCACCACTATCCACTTTCCATCCATCACTAGATAACGCTTGAATGCGTCCCCATAAATCTTCTAAAAAATCCTGAAACGACCACCGAAACAAACGGATTAATGTAATTTATGTTGCAAATTTCATAACAAGGTGATAAAACCAAATTTATCTATTTTGAGCTGTAACTTTTAAAAACAAAATCATTATCATACTAATTGTGTTCGGTTCCAATCATAAGGCAGATTGGACACCATGACATTTATAACTAACGGCATTGCCGTATATATATTGAAAAAACAATCAACCCGAAACAGTTTCCCAATCAAGTAGAAAAGTTTAGAATTATGATAAAGAATTACCGCAACTAGTGAAATTATACCTTCTCATTAAGAGTTTTTTCAACTTCACCAGCATCCTCAAAAAAGGATAAACCAGTGTCCACGGTATGCCTTCGAATACTTAAGTAAGCTTCTACTCCAACCATTACTCTCTCGAGCTCTTCAGGAACTTGCTGCGCACGAAGATGAGTTTTCAATGAAAGAGGCTCTTTGGCCAACATGAGTATAGCTCAGCAAAACATCCCTATTTCCTCTAAGAGTTCGTAGGTTTGAAATCTTCATCCCACGTGTTGTTGTAACATTCTAAAAATAGTAGAGTCTTTAAATAATTCTTTTAGAGCAATCATAGGAAGAACCAAATTCAGAGACAAAACAACAATACCTCAACCAGTTCAGCTCCTCCCCAGGGAAAACAGGAGAGAATGCAAGATATGTAAAAGTCAGCGCGTGCCTGCCATGCAGGGTTTCCCTTCTCTTCATCCACTGTTGTGGCAGCTGAAGATAATAATGTTTCAAAAACAACAACTAAAGAAGTGGACAGCAGGACTTTACTGCTCATCTACATAAGACAAAAAACAATGAACCCATTTAAAAGGTCAGAATATTTTTTTAAGATGACAGAAAAAACTATAATACGTTAGGTTTTCAAATTTAGAAAAGGATAAGAACTCTGGTCAAAAACAATGTATTGTTAATAGCAAAACCAAGCATACCAGGGTAGTTAGAAAGCGTAACAAAATTCGGATCCTGTGGCAATTTCCAGTGTTTAAGGCATCCTGAAAAAGAACTACAAGTAAGATAAACGAAATATATCTGATGAAATAATTGAAATCCGAATACTAAGGATGGGAGTCGAACATCCCGAAAACTTTTTTTTTATATGAAACAGCAAGATTTGTATTCAAATCAGCAAAAGGAAAACAAGTTGAGGGCAAGGGGTAGGGGGAGAATCCTTTCCCAAACAAAAGAACTATCACAAAGTAAAACCTTCATATTTCTAACATTCAATGCAAGGCTATAAGTACACCATCTTTTACAATTGGCGCACTAACAGAAGAGTAATCGCAGAACGAAGATACTTGTCCTAGATTGCACCGGTGTTCAAGCTAGCTTGCAAACACTTTAACTATCTGACTCTACTATATTTGGTTGTTAAGGTGACTCGTAGGATTTTTTTTTATTGGTGATCTCCTCATTGTGCAGTATTTTATTTAATGAATAAAGTTGTTTCCTACCCAAAAAAATACTGAATAGGCCAAGAACTTATTATGCGCAAAATTGAAAGTTCCAACCTATTAGCTACAAAATTGAAAATCTAGGGACTAAGTACACACTTTAAAATTTTCAGATCAATTATACACGACTTTAAAAGTTCAAGAACTAAGTATATAATTTACTCATTTCTTTTTTATTTTTTTGTATGGAAGTGCCTTACTTCACTTCACTAAAACAATGACAATGTCTCTTTCTCGCCTCTCACTTTGAAGGCGTCAAGACACTTATCCCCTTGAGGCAATTGGATTGAATTTGTGAGGATTTGTGGTTGGGGTCATAGGAGAAGTTCAGAAAGGAAGCAACTCGGCAGCGAATGGCACAAGAAATGAAAACATCTAAACCATGTGATCCGCAAAATGGCTAACCTGAAAACTTTTGTGAGTTTGGTCCACAATTTTCTTCACGAAGTCTTCATTTTCCAAGTTTATCAACCCAATCTGTATGCACAACAAGATAGATATATAACCATCATTGAAAATTATAAGTAAACTTCCAGGAAATGTTCTTAAGTAATATGCTAAACATTAAAGCAAAAAAGAGAGAAAGAAAGGAAGAGAGACCGTGTTTACCAATTGGAGTGATAGTATAAAGGAGACAAGGGTATGAAAAACCATTCCTCTTGTGAAAGAATATACAAAGGGAAGAGGGAGCCAAAGCAACAAACCAAACTAGGGAAAAAGAAAGAGGGTTTGTCTTTTCCTGAAGGAAACATACAATTTTGTTGAATCAAATAATACACTACTGGAAAAAGAGGAAATGCCCGACCACGTTGCTCTAGAGTTATAAACGATACATGAAGAAGAACAGAAAAGGAAATAGCAAAAGGCAGGCCACTGCATTTCATAACTTTGAATCTACAGCTCTGTCTTTTCATGGGGAACATGTAGAATAGATTTGTATGTATAGCTAATTCAGTCGTGCTCGTCCTTTCTCGAAAGTATCTTTCTTCTAGGAACATGGTCAACCAAAAATTATTACATTCGTGATTCATCATCCACTAATGCAGAAAATGCTCTAGTGAGGCTAAAAAGTTTATTAGCAACTAGTTGGCACAAAGCTCTTTATCATGCTCAAAGACAAGCCGATCGTTCGTTAGGGACTTGATAAATAAGATTTATGATGCTGGACACTACTATACATGTGAGACATAACTAAGCAGTTCAAGCTAAATCCCGCGAGATAGCAACATAAGCACATCATTGCAAGACAGAAGTTTTAAGAAAAGATATCCACAGTAGGTCTGAAGAATGTAATGTACTTTACCAATGTCCCGTACAAAGGAGTCTTATGAGGCAATTGTTCAACGCATTGTAGAAGGAACTGCAGACGAGAAAAAAGAAAACGGTGTAAATACCACAAGCATAGAGTAGCTAGACACGAGTCAACGTGCCACGAAGGGATACAACTAAAGAAGTTGCCAGCAAAAGAAAAAGGAACTCAGTTCACACGTGCTGCTGATATAGTAATTCAACCAGTATAATTTCACCCAATACAAGGACTGCAAATTTCATCAAGACCCAGATAAATTACAGAGCACACGTGCTGCTGATATAGTAATTCAACCAGTACAATTTCATCCAATACAAAGACTGCAAATTTCATCAAGACCCAGATAAATTAAAGAGCAAAGAATGTGCAGAAGCAAAGAATTACAGGCAAAACTTCATCTCCATAGTGATCCAACTCCCGCCGAATCGCACCAAAGCAAGTTTCCTGCAAAACCCAGATGAAAATCAACGGCCAGAAGTCGAATACCGGCGTACAAATGGAGGAATATAGAGAGAGAGACGAACAATATGGTCTTTGAAGTCGGAGGAGGTGCCATATTCCGGGGACTTGTCGCCAATTCGAAGAAGAAGACTCTTCCAGCTGCTCATTACTACCCAGAAGAAGGAAGAAAAACGTTGGTAGAGGGAAAATGAGGAGATGGGGGAAGTGGGTTCGACTCAACACACGGGACTGTAAAAGCAAAGATGCAAGAATGACCTATGAACGCAAATGGGGGGTTTTAGAGAGAGGAGTGGGGAGTAAGAATGAGTGCATAGAACAGTTCTTATAATTATTACTTTTATTCAATTTAAATCTTAATCAAATAAAAGGCTTAAAACGTTTTTTAAAGGATTATTTTTTTTTATTAAACCTAAATATAAAGCAAAATTACAACAATGCCCACGAGGCGGGCAGGGACCGGAAGCCGTCCATGTCACTATCTTGATAGAGTATTTCATTTTCCTCTCAATTTTCTATTTATTTTTGTATGATCTGTTTATTATTTTTAAAAAATATATATATTTTAAAGTTTTTTATTATTCGATATAAATTTTATTAAATAAAGATTAAAAAAATCATTAATAAATAAGTATATTTCATATATTATATTTTAACAACATAATTTTTAAAAATAGCTCAAATATACTAGGGTTTTAGCTTAAATATTCTTAAATTAACTAATTTATTTTTAAAAAAAAGGATTTAAAATAAATATATATATATATATATTAGATAAAAAGAAAAAAATCTAAAAAGAAATTGGGAAACCCTTGTTTGGATTCCCTAAACCCCTGCCATTCCCATCTTCTTCCCTCCCGTTTGCCCTTCAGCATTTGGCAGAACCGATTTGGAGCTCTGAGAGACCTTTGGTTAGCTATGGCCAGCGCTGATGTTGAGGCTGTCGACTTTGAGCCCGAGGAAGACGACCTCATGGACGAGGATGGAGCCGCCGAAGCCGATGTCTCCCCACGAGCTACTTTTCCTAAGCTCAAATCCGCCATTACTGGTGGCGCATCTTCCACGTTGGCCGGTGGTTTGAAGAAAACCAAGGGTCGTGGATTTCGAGAAGATTCTGATCGTAACACCCGTCTTGCTGGGTCGGACTTCGATTCCCTCAACTCTGCTGATTGCCCTGGCATCCAACGATGTTAGTCTTGCCGTTCTCTCTTTCTCTATCTATCTATTATTCTCATTTACTTAGTTTGACTGATTGCGTTTTTTTTTTTTTTTCCTGTTAATGCCGGTTAGGTTTCCCTCTTGTTTAAATAATGCAAATCTTAGCTGCAATTTGATGTGGGAAATTGTTACCTGAACGGTGTTAAAGATTCATGTGTATTAGCTATATATTGCTTCTTGGAGTTATTGCAAGGTTGGTTTCTTTTAGGAGTTTGGTGGTTGAGAGGATCTTCGGCTACTTATCTCACTAAAGAGGAAGAATTTTCTTCTTTCTAGGGGGGAACTGGGGAAGTATAACCTTGGTTGGTTTGGGTCTTTCAAACAAAAATTATTTACAATATGGGGTTAGTTCAATTGGGTCATTCGAATGAGCTTACTAACTCTTTATCCCTTCAAACCACAAAAGTTATTAAGAAAATGAAGAAGTTAACCGGGAACTTTATAGGGAGAGGAAAATAGAGAGGGTGGCCGCACATTGTGAAATGCTCATCGTTCCCTTACCTTCCTCATTGGTTGCTTAAAACAAGGAAATTTGACCTTTTTGTTATAGTGTGGGTTTGTAGATTTTCCTTGGAGGGATCATTCAGCATCAGCTGATTATAATCAAGGACGTGTTAAATGGTCTCTGTTGGTTTACTTGTTCTCCTCCGTTTTCTTGTCCTAATTCCCCTTGGTTCCATGCCAATACATGTTAATTATAAATAAGTAGAATTTGCTAATTATGCATCCTAGTCAATAAGAAGATTCTAAATTGTGGTCTCTGGGTAGTTTGGAGTTTTATTTTGCAAATCGCTTCTCTCTAAAGCTTTTGTGAGTTATTTGTAGTATAATAGATGTGGGGTATGAGCACTTGAGTACGTGCCAATTACCATTGAGCTAGGCTCATTTTGGCTTGTGAGTGCTTATTGTATTATAAAAAGTTTGTCTTTTGAGATCTAGCATTCTAAAGTTCCTAATAGGATTCAAGTTTTCTCCGTGGTCCTTTGTCGTCTATTTCATCAAAACTAATGACAGGAATATCAGATTCAGTGATGAAATCCTTGAATCTCTCCCTTATTCTCAACAGTGTATTAACCTTAGGAATAGTGTAGAAGATAAGCCACCTTTTATCGTTCACCCTTTTCCTATGGCTGTTGAATGTTGTCTTCCAGGGAATTTTTCTCACACGGTTGTATGCACATGTATTTTGCAGTCTTTCTCTTGAAAGCCTAAAATGATCTGCCTTTTTGGTGCTTGAATGGTTCTTTGGTGAATGCTTGTTGCTCATCTTTGGCACTTATGCTTGAAAAGACGCGATTGATTTGTTTATGATACTCTAATACTTGGAATGATTTCTTTGTTTTGATTCATTTTATAGCTTTCCGCTGGAGCTCTTTTAATAAACTTTTTTTAATTATTATCCCTATCTTAGAGATTCTAACTGGGAAGCTCTTCATAACTTCTTCGTTTGGGTTTGGGGTACATCTTATCCTCCCCCCTTTTGTGCACTTTTTCAATGTTTTTTAGTTATTTATAGAGTTTTTGTCTACTGAACAAGAAAAGCGGCCAGGACTTTAGTCATTTCAAGAAAAAAAAATCATAAACAATTATCCTCTTGGATTTAAGAGTAAACAAATGATTGGATGTGTCCAAATTTCCATAAACAAGAAAGTTAACGTGTGAGGCAGTATATCCTTTAGCAGCTAGTGCACTGTTTGATCAATTTCTAATACTAGTTATTGTGTGTAGCTATTGAAGGATGGATCATTCTGGTATCTGGTGTACACGAAGAGGCACAGGAGGATGATCTACAAAACGCATTTGGTGACTTTGGGGAGATAAAGAATTTGCATCTAAATCTCGATCGCCGTACTGGGTTTGTCAAGGTATATTTGGTTACCATTTATTTTTATTTTTAATTTTCCTATAGAAACCGGAACTTTTGTTATATCCGTTTCCTATTAAGGAGAAGAACAATATGCATATGTGTGGTTGTTTTATAGTTAAAAATGTATAATAACTAGGAAGTTTTGAAAAAAAATCCAAACAGAAAACTCTGTAAGATGAATGGAGTAATATTGTAAATTCTATTTTGATTCTCAAAGACAATTTAATTTGTGTATTCTCCCTTTTCTTTGCGTCCCTTCCCGAAAGCACAATAAATTATCTTAATATTAAGTCTACCGATTGGTGCAGTATTTTCAAGCTCCATTCGAGTTTTAGCATCTTTCATTATCATTAAACTTTGAAATCTGGACTATGTTAGTGATAGATATCTGCATTGGTAACACATTGCATGCATATTACAATAGGCTGCTTTGCCATAGCTATTTTGCTGGAGAAACCTGAGCATTACGTTTTGAGAACTAGGTTACTTAAGTGACAGCCGTCTGTATTGGAGCTGTAAGTAGAAATTTTCAGTTCTAATACTATATCCTGAGTTGATTGATGAAGACAACTATTCGGTTTCCATTGCATCTCATCTGTTATCTACTGTTAACGATCCCCGACTCAGAAATTTACCGGTTTTCCGTTGTGCTGAAGTGCTGATTAATATTTATTATTTTGGTTTTGGCAAGGGGTATGCGTTGATCGAATACGAGAGCTTTGAGGAAGCAGAGAAAGCAATATCTGCCATGGATGGAGCTGAACTTCTGACCCAAATTATCAATGTTGATTGGGCATTCAGCCGTGGACCCATCAGAAGGAAGAACACAAGGTATGCTTGCTTCTACAAGATGCATTCAATATTTGCAAGGGGAATAATCACAGTCTATAACTTTTTGTTCTAATCTAACTGCAGACCTGTGCGAGAACAGCGTTCGAGGAGCCCAAGGAGGAGATATTGATCTGGAGGTGTTTATGATTTTTAAACGGAAAGGTGTTTTGTTGTGGATTATAGATATTAGGTGATGTTTCTACTGATCTCTTACTCAACTGTCTCTCAAGATTCCCCTGGTTTCTTGGGGGATCTGAAGTTGATGATATTCCCCCTTTTTCCTTGGATTACTTGAGGTTCATGCTTTTTTGTGTTGAAACCTGCTATTTTGTATATTCTTTTGTTCCAAATTTGGTTCGGATCGAGGGTTTTGGATTTGGTCGTTCTCCGTTGGAATGACATGTACTCTTTTCTTTGAGGTCGGAGGTTGAAATTCTCATTATTTCATATTTCATATGATTCTAATCCATTGTTTTATAATGAACTACCTCTTTTTATTTTTCTTATAGTTAAAAATTTTAAATAAAATATTTTCAAGAAAATAATTGAATTGAATGAATATCCTTTCCAATAAATAGAATATTCTGAATGGTTCTATCATGATTGTTTTATTATTATTTTTCTTTTTAAGTAAAAGATTTGAATTCGAGTAAAATTAAAAAAATAAAAGCAATTTTTTTAAAACCATTTTTTTAGTTTTCAAATTTTAGTTTGGTTTTTTAATATATATATATATATAAAAGAAGTAAATTACCAAGTAGAAATAATATTTATGGGCTACGTTTTCTCAAAATAAAAAATTAAATAATGATCGAAAAATAACATATTGTTTAATTACTTCAAGTTGTAAAACGTCATTTTATCATTTTATTATTCAAAATCAATTTCATACGTTATATTATTGGTTAACGCAACGATTCATTTACGATTCGTAATTTACGACCAACACAAATAATATGCTCGTCAACTTTACACCTTTAAAGTTGTGACGATTAATGAAAATTTTAGTGAATTTATGGGGAAATAAAAATTAAATTTTGTATTTTAAGAATTGAGCATTTGAATTAATGTGTTTATTTAAGTGGAAAATAGAGTGTTTGGTGTGAGAAGACAAAATCCCGTAAGGTGTCGGAATAAAGCCAAACACACAGCCTTAAGCATTCACCTGGTTTATGGTAATTCCAATCACATGGGCCCCCTCCACCCTCCCCCATCTCATTATCACCCCCTCCAACTTTCAATATTTACAATCTTATCCTTTCTCTCTCTCCCTCCCGACTGTTGGATGATGAAAGTCCTACATCGACTAATTTAGGGAATGATCATGGGTTTATAAGTGAGGAATACTAACTCCATTGGTATGAGGCCTTTTGGGGAAGCCCAAAGCAAAGCCATGAGAGCTTATGCTCAAAGTGGGCAATATCATACCATTGTGGAGAGTCGTGTTCGACTAACACCGACCACCCTAATTTATCACACGACCTCTAATCTTACGAGTAATTATGAGATCTCATATACGTTGAAGAGGGGAGCGAAAGTCGAAACATTTCTTATCATACCGTAGAAATCTCTCTCTAACAAACGCTTTTTGAAATCATGAGACTGACAACGATACGTAATGAGCTAACAGTGGACTTGGGCTGTTACAATATCTTAATTTGGTTTATCCTATCTTTTACCCCTCTCGTTCTTGTAATTTCGCTCTTGACATTTTAAAAACACTGTCTGAAAATAATATTTGTTGACAAAAAAAATGTTGATGTCATCTTAAATTAGTATTTGATTCATATTTGTTCGTGTGGATACACTCTTTAGAATTCGTGTCTATGTGACATGGTTCGTTTACCTGTAATTTAACGACACATAAGTTTTCGAATGTTTACCAATAATTGAAGGTCCATGGATTGAGTTCACACCCGAGAACTCTTATGGTTTCGGGGTGTGTCGTTGGAGTTCACAACGGAGAACTTTTCCTTCGTGGATTAGCTTCGTCACTACCTGGAACAGTTCGAGAACGTACATGGATTGATCTATCCTTATTCAAATCAAACTTAGAGAGATAAGAAAGAAGTCGTGACACACGAACAAATGAGGTGTGGATTAATAAATCGAAACTGCGTTTAAATGACTAAAAGGGACTTAAAAGAATTAACGTCGTAAGTATACATTCCTTTTCGATACCTCAATCATAGAAACTTTATGATTAAACGTACTTTACTTGAGATGCACGTGAGTCATACAAAATATGTTGAAAAGACTCTGGTTGACTAATCAGATAGTCTTCATTCACAAGAAACGAGGAAAATTCAAATCTTCCGAATGGATCGTCGACTGTCACAGAGTTGAAATTTAAACCGTTCAAAGTGAATCTATATATATATATATATATATATATATTGGTTTTGATATTAAACAATATTTTAATTGAAAAGAAATGTAATTATTAGAGGCAATAATTGAAGAAAAAAGGGAAGCTGTTCAAACTCAATTATTTGACAAGAATTAAAATTGTACACTGTCACCCTTTTATGAACTCAAAATCAATGAAAAAGGCTATACATCTTAAATTCACTCCACAACGACCAAGTCAACTCCGTTACGTTCGATGTTGTTTATAGGTTTTCTTTTGTTGTTCGGCTACAACAACGTCACTTGATTGATGAAGTTCGATTTTTTTAGCCTTCCCAACCTTATTTTATCCGAAGGATAAAGAAAAATTAGACAGTTTGTTCAGATATATCGTCCCACTAAATAAAAAATATTATAAATAGGGATGAGCTGGAAAGAGATTATTCCAATGAGAAAGGAAAGGGTCCACGAGACTACATTTCACGAACATTTCAAGGTCATCAGTAGCAGATATTATCCGTTTTGGCTCATTACCTATCACCGTCAGCCTCACAGTTTTAAAACACGTCTACTAGGAAGAGATTTCCACACTTTTTATGAAGAATGATTTGTTTTCTTCTGTAATCGATACGGGGTCTCACATTGACACATTAGGATATGAATCATTGTAAACCGAGCTAGACTGAACGTTGATAGGTTCCACTGCATTCATTTGAACGTTAAAAAAAATTAACGTTGGATGAAAGAAACTCATCGTAGGGTGGGGGTCCCCAAAATTAAGGGAGTGGTGAAATAATTAGAGATGAAACAGGGGCAATATCTGCTACACAAATTGCAGCAGCCATGGCCGTAAATGCACCTCCTTAACTCTGTCAGCCTTACTTATAGCTCCATTCAACATGCCCTTCTCTCTCTTCATAACCACACCCTTCTAGTTATCCCTCCCAGTTTCATCTGGGTCGGGATTGTGATCGACATAAACATACCTTAACTAACATCAAATATATACTATCGATTAAACGGTTAAGACTTCGAATCTCTTGCTCCACAAGTGGTAAGAAAACGTAAGGTTAGGATTTAATATCGACCTTTAAGATATATGTACCTTGTCTTAGCTAGTTGACCTATACTCGAGTTGAAATTTTGTAAGACTTTAATCGTGCCAATAAATTAGTAAATCTTCAAATGTCGAACAAAGGAGTCAAGCCTCCTTGAAGACAGTAAAAAATGATCAAGACTCCAAATGAGTCGAGCCTCGATTAAGGGGAGACGTGATTTGTTCGAGGGGAGATGTTTTGATGATAAAAGTCCCACATCGACTAATTTAGGAAATGATCATGAGTTTATAAACAAAAATACTCTCTCCAATGATGTGATATCATTTATTAATTTATTAATTTTCATTATTTATTGACACTTTTTTAACCAGGGGTTACAACAAAATCTAAGTTACCCAAATAGGTCACAGAAACTTACCCAAGCTGGTAAATATTTGCTGCCTTTTTTACTTAAAAACGAGATAATATTATGATCTTATTTCCAGAAATGGAAACAGAAAAAGACTTTAAAAAATCATTTTCTTTTTACTGAATCTTAGGAGACTGTTTGGACTTTGGATTCCTTTTTTTTACCATGCTGTAATTTATTAATTACAAACATTCCCTTTTTACCCCCAATTTTTTAACCCTCCCCTCTTACACGTTAATTTTTTTTTTTACTCTGGTTCTCATGCATGTATCATTTTTTTACTCCGACTACAAATTTAACCCATTTCAATTAAGTTATTACATAAAAAAAAAAATGTTTTTTTTTTTATAAAAAAATATTTTGAGTAAATTAAATTTGAGGTTTTAAATTTTTGAAACCAAGTGGGCATTTATTTATGCAATATTCTAAAATATTTATTATTAATTTGTATTTTTAATTACAATTATAATGATTAGAGTCTCCAATTTAATAGTAAGTTTGCAATCAAAGCTTTTTGGTACAATTTCTATGGTTTAATAATGAGTGTAGGAAAGGGACATGAGAATTTGCTAATGTGATTCTAACCTAATGTTGGTTTCCGATTAATATTTTGGAACCGTTTCGGAGAAAAAAATGGACTCCAAATGATTGGATTAATAGAATAATATTGTCTCGGTAACTCCCGTCAATTTCAGCTATCAATTCTTGCTTTTGGTATTGAGTTTTTTCCTTCGTTGAGTCAGCCCATATCGACGATTTGCCCTCTTTTTGTCGATAGTGACAACTTAGTGGTGACAAACATAGCATAGCGGTTCTGGTGGTGAAACTTAATCATGTTTTTTTTTTCTTTGTCCCTTCGCGTTTCCAGGATTGGTGGATTGAGGACATTACTTCATCTAACGTGTTACGGCTATACTGTGAGATTTTTAATACACGTGAGGTGAGTTAGTCTATAGCATGGGTTTTGTGGTGTGTAATCTGTAACAACTTGAGTTCTATGACTTTTCTAAAGGTGGTTACTACAAGCATGACGGTAAAAACGTGTGAATTTGCATGGTTTTACTTCTTAAATATTAAAAATTATAAATAATTCAATTTGAGAAACACACTAAAAAGATCTAACTTCAATTAGAATTAAACCCGAGATCTATAATAAAGTGAAACGATCGTACAGAACAAAACCCTATAAGCTCGATTAAGGAAGGTTGCTATAACAGAGCCAGTCATCAGGCGGTGTGCCATCGAAGACGCTGGACCCTCAAATGGGTGGGTTATGAGATCTCCTATTGGTTGGAGAGAGAAACGAAACATTTTTTATAAGGTGTGAAAATCTCTTTGTAGCAGACAATTTTAAAACCTAGCAGGATAATCGAGGAAAGCCCAAAAAGAACAATATTTAATAGCGGTGGACTTGAGTTGTTACAGTTACTTGTAAAATAACATTTTGTAAAAGGTTAAACATTAAAAGTACGAGACTCATGCGAGAATTTTAAGAGACTTTATCTCAACGGCTAAGAATCGACACTTCATTGGAGGAGTCGAGTTCCATCCATCATAATGGCTCGTGAATTATATGATCGATTTTTACACTCTCAAGATTTACACATAAACACAAGCACGAGGTCCAAAAATTGAAAACTTAGAATACACGATACGTGGCAAACAATGTAGTTTGACGACCTATATTGTAACGACCAACGTCGTTTGAATTACGGGTAGAATATGGTTTGTTAATAAAAAACTTTCTCCTTGGATTTGGAACACATTTAATGCAATTCATTAATTAACAATTAAATGGGTATCAAGTAAAGTTGGCAAATCTCAACCACCAATGGTGATTTTGATTCTTCATTTTAGCACTCTAAGTGGACCAATTCTTAGATTCACCTTTAAATTCAAATACAAAAGTTAGCGTTTTTATTCCCACGTTTCAATATTGTCCGTTAATTTCACAGTTTTAAAATACGTTTATTAAGAAGAGGCTTACATATCCTTTATAAAATGTTTCGTTTCCCTTTTCAACCGATGTGAGATCTCACAACCTACCCCTTTGGGAGCCAACGTCCTCACTCGCCACATCGGTGATGTCTGGCTTTGATACTATTTGTAAAAGTCTAAGCCCACCGTTAGCAGGTATCTTCACGATTTTAAAATACGTCTAGTAGGGAGAGGTTTTTCACAATCTTATAAAGTGCTTCATTCCCCTCTTTAACCGATGTGAGATCTCACAATCTACCCCTTGGAAGCCTAGCGTCTTCAGTGGGCACACCGCGTGGTGTCTGACTCTTATACCATTTGTAACAGTATAAGATCACCGCTAGTAGATATTGGTAGATATCATCTGCTTTGACCAATTACATAGCGCATTCAGTCTCACAATTTTAAAATACAACTACTTAAGAGAGCTTTCTACACTCTCATAAAGTGTTTCGTTTTTTTTCTCTAACCGACGTCAGATCTCACCATGTTAAAAAGAGAAGTGGATTGGAGTAGAATTGAGTTTGAAGATTTGGTTGCAATCATGGATAAGTCTCATCTTAATTAAGTATACTTAGAGATAATGATGATGAACAAGAAACATCAAATAAAAAAAATAAAAAAAAGGGAAAAAAACAAAAATGAAAGAGAAAATGTGGGACCCAAATTCAAAATTAGGTTTTTTTTCCCCAATTTTTTGAGAATTATCTCAAAGAAAAAGAAAAAAAAAAAAAAAAAAAGAATTGGGACCTATCTTCTTCGCTGGAATCTCTTTGATATGATAAAGGGTTATATTTTGCATACAGAGGAAGAACAGAGCAAGCAGTGCATATAATACACACGTATGACAAGATTTATACTGTTTTGACAATTACTCTTTTAACTTTCAAGTAGTAGATCTGTAATCTTCTATCACCACTACGCCATTCCGTTTTTCTCTCTCCTGTTTAGAGAGAGAAACCTGTCACTCCCTGCTCCTCTTACTCTACTAAGCAAACCCACTTCGCTAAATGCTTCAAAACCCTACTGATTTCTGAGCCCATTGTGTGTTTTTCTTGGGGAAAAGCGGATTTTCTTGAAGACCCATTAAGGTTTTTGAGGATTTGGGTTCTTGGGTTTGAGTTTTCTTGAAGAAACAGAGGAGAAAAATGGATGCATATGAAGCAAGTAGTTTGGTTTATGCGAAGATCAAGAACTTGGAGCCTGAAAATGCTTCGAAAATCATGGGGTTTCTTCTCATTCAAGACCTTGGCGATAAGGAGTTGATTCGTTTGGCTTTTGGCCCTGAAACCCTTTTGCATTCATTGATTTTGAAGGCCAAAGCTCATTTAGGGTTTTCTTTGAACTCTTCTTCTTCTTCTTCTTCAACGCCCTCTTCGCCTTCGCCTCTTAATCCCATCGCTAGACCTTCCAACACTAACCCTTTCTCTCAATCTAAAAACCCTTGTTCTTCTTCTTCCTCAACAAGTTCTTGGTCGTTTTCAGGAATCACTAACAATGTCATTAGCCCTAAATCCACTTCCCTTCTTTCTTATGACTGTATTCGAGCTCCCCCTTTTTCAATGCCTCCATTTTTGCAGCTCAAAAATGGGTTTGGAGATTCTGAAGTCGGTGAAGAGCCGCAAGTTAACGATTACCTTTCGTTTCTAAACGAGTCGTCTTCTTCAAGAGGTGAGCAGAATTGGACTCAATCTATGGATAATGCTGAGACCCCTTTTCATAGAAGAAGCTACTCTGCTAGTGATGTTTGTTTTGGCTCAGAAGATGGAGGATTTGGAGTTGGTTATAAGCCTTGTCTTTACTTTGCTAGAGGGTTTTGTAAAAATGGTAGCAATTGCAAGTTCTTGCATGGCGATTTCCCTGACTTGGTTGATCCTTCTGCTGCCATTGTTGGGTCTCCTAGCAAACTAGAGGGCTTGTTTGATCAACGTGAGGAGTTCATGAGATATAAGGCTGCTCAACAACAGAGATTAGCCACTGCTTCTGAGTTCATGGCTGGAGTTTCACCTTCTCAGTATAACAAATACATCAATTTTCTACTTCAACAGCAGAATGAAACTCATAGGTAACCAAATATAGTGCATGAATCCCATCATATTTGTCTTGTTTTTGGGAATTTTAGCTTGGGAATGGTCTGTAATGCAATGTTTCTTCATTATTTGGAATGGATAATCTAGAGCTACAGCAGCAGCGCTCATGATGGGAGATGAGTATCAAAAGTTTGGCATTTCCAGGAATGAAAGGAACGATTTCTTGGCTTTGGCTGCCGAGAAGCGAAATTCGGCGTCGAGACAGATTTATTTGACATTCCCAGCCGATAGCACCTTCAAGGATGAAGATGTCTCAGAGTATTTCAGGTAACCAGTTAAAATATCCCGATGAACCGTTCGTGTCATTGTTGCTCCAACGATATATGAATCCAACTTTGAGTATGATGATCTGAAATGTTTTTGTTTTATATATGAGTATGATGATTACCTGCATCTGATTCATAGTTTTCTGTATTAAAACTTTTCAGGGTTTTAAGGAGGCTGGCCATTGAGGTTTTTTAACGCATATTGAAATAAGCCTAAGTTTCAGTACAATTGCTTTCACTTTGTACTGATTCTTAACAAATAATTATCTCTCACTTAATTTCCCGTTTACCGGAATCGAGCCTTCGCTCATGTTCTATGCCTCTGCCTTCTGTTCAAACCTTCTTTGTTCTGTTACAACTTTGGTTCGAGAATGGTGCGAGATTCTTCGAATATACTCACTTCTCAATGCATGTAAATGTAATTAGATGGTTTGATATATGCTTGAACATGAATTCATTGGATTTTAGATTTTCATTTGTAGTAAATCCAATAGAATAAGAGTTTCTTGAGGTGTTGTTTTTATGAACTCGACCAGATTTCTTTTCTTGTTCTGTTTTCTAACAAAAGAAGAAAAGAAAAGAAAAGAGAAGATAAATACCTGAGTACATACTGAAGAAGTCTGAACACTATGCTACACAAACACTGAACGAGATAGGAAAAATGTTCCGTGTATGCGTTTGTTTGTTTATGCACCTACGTGTCTCGTGCGAATGCTTGCATAATTGTGGTCTTCATTCAAACATTTACTTTGACAACGTATTATGAGTAAAAGATACAATATTTATACGTTCAGTTTTATAGAACACTCAAGAGTATGTCTCAGAAACAAAGCTGCACTTTTTGTTACATCATATATGAATTTATCTTAGTTTTGTTGGTACGGGTTTTTGTCGACTTGATTTGCTTGATTGTAAATCCATTGGCCATAATCTACATTGAAGCAAATTGTAAAGCGATTAGTGATTGATGAACTCTCATGTCTTACCTTTTTGCAGCAAATTTGGGCCTGTGCAAGATGTTAGGATTCCGTACCAACAGAAGAGGATGTTCGGGTTCGTTACGTTTGTCTATCCAGAAACGGTAAAACATATATTGGCAAAGGGGAACCCTCATTTCATATGCGAATCACGAGTACTTGTGAAACCATACAAAGAGAAGGGAAAAGTTCCAGAAAAGTAAATTTGCCCTCAACTCTTTTTTATGTTCTATTTTGTTCCCTTTCTACCTTTAAAAGTGATGTTTATAGTTGGGATGGAATGTAGGAGGCAGCAGCATCAACAACCGCAACTCGAGAGGGGAGACTTTTCTCCTTGTTTGAGTCCCTCTGGAATGGACGCTCGGGATCCTTACGACCTAAACCTCGGTATGAAATACGTAGGCAGGCCCCTTTCCCCCAAATTCGACAGCCAAAGAAACCATACGTCTCTAATGAGTTATTCATATGAACCATTTGATTTACAGGCGCAAGAATGATGTATAACACTCAAGGGATGATGTTGCGTAGGAAATTAGAAGAGCAAGCTGAGTTGCAGCAAGCACTCGAACTTCAGGGAAGAAGGCTATTGAATCTCCAGCTTCCCGACTTGAAGAACGATCAGCTACACCACCATCACCCACACAATTTACCTATCTGTTCTCCATTATCCACCGAATTGCATAATCAAATGAATCAGAATATTTATCCTCCTGATTTTATTAACCAAGAAGCTTCTGAAGGTTTGCTGATTCTTCATGGTCTTCTCTCCTTTCTTTTTCTCGAACGTTTTCAATTGTTAGCTGACGATGAGAGCTGTTTCAGGTCATGAGAATAACCAAGTAACTACCAACAATGCGATGAGCACGCCGCAAAACTTTCAGCTGGAAGAGAATCCTTGTTTTATCCAAAGCAACAACACTGGGAAAGCCATGGACGACGGCTACAACTCCAAACTGCTCGAAATCCACAAAAGGTCTAATTAAAACATCATTAGCACGAGATTATTTTCGTCGTACATTGTATTAACCATATTCTTCTCTATCATTTACTTTGGCCATGAGGTCAGTGTTGAGCAGGTCCTTCCTGATAGCCCATTTGCTTCTCCTAAAAAATCTGCATCGGGCCAACATCCCGACTTTTCTTCTGTTAAAGCGGACGGGTGTGGTCCCAATACATTACCGTCATCTTCTCAGAGCAACGCATCACTGGCTACCGGTCTTGCTGGTGACATAGCTGCCCCTTAATTAACCTTTTACCCCACAGCTGAATGGCAAGGTCCTGTTATTCTCTTCCTTGTGGTACCTCACTTTCCATCATGCTAATTTTAGAAGTCAGTTATTGAAAGTAAGATACATTACTTTCCTTAGGTTTCTATTCCTTGTGTGAATCTTTTAAAATATAGGCAATAACTACAAGAGCATGGCCAGCAAATATCAACAACGTTAGGGTAAGACTCCACCGATCTCTGCCTCCTTGATTTTCTTATATTTTCAGGGCATTATGTTTTGAGTTCTATCAAATGAAAACTGCTAACGATGTTCGTATTTTATCTACGCAGAAAAAAATTAGAAAAGCGTATAGCAGGCAGAAGAATCATCCCCCGGATGTATAGCGAAATTATACCTACTTCGAAGAGTAGATCTATTACTACTATAGAGAGAAGATCTCCACAAGTATCATCTTCATCAATTTTACATACTCCTAACAGCAAATACATATATAAATTCATACATTTAGGACAGATGATTTGGTTTATGAGAGTTGAGTTAGGGTCTTCTGTGTTTATTATTATTATTATCTTGTGCTGGACCATGCTGACTAAAGAACTACGGTCGTCGGGTCGGGTTAACTCCGTTTTACATTTTGCATCTACACATAAGTTCTTCTGTTTGTTCTTGGCATTATTCATAGTTAGGTAGAATTTGAAGTTTGTGTGAAAGCTCACAAGAGCCTGTTGTGTATATAGTAGTAGGGTTCTTAGTGGATATAAGAAGACTTGAGAAATTTGTTGTAGCGGACACTCATTGGGACCAAAGAAAAGTGGGGGTTGGTTACCCAAAGAGCTACTTGCTTTACACTGTTCTTTTCCTCCTCTAGATATAATATCATAATTTGATGATGGGTTGAATTGAAATTGACAGAACAAGGACAAAAATGGATTTTGATTCGGTTTGTGAAAGTTTTTAGCTTTAGAGGACTGTTTTGTCTCGCACTGTTGTTGTTGAGGCCCACACCCAAAGGGTATCACATGGGGGCACTGACATGGTATAATGGCATCAACCCAACACATATATATATGTTGTTATTGTTTGTGATGTGCTTTGTTTTTGTGTGAATGGAGGGAGGTCCCTACTTTTTGTACTGGCGTGGATTGGTATCTCTCCCTCTTTTTTTTTTTTTCTTTTCGAGTGAGTGTTTGGAAATCTCTTTCCTAACAGAGACTCGTTTTAAAAACTTTGAGGAAAAGTCTGAAAGGGAAAGTCCAAAGAGAATAATATATGCTACTGGTGAGTTTAAGGCTGTTACCAATGGTATCAGAGCCAAATATTAAGGTGATGTTCCAGCAAGGACGCTGGGCGTTGAAGAAGAGGCGGATTGTGAGATCCCACATCGGTTGAGAGAAGAATGAAACATTTTTTACAAGGGTGTGAGAACCTCTCCCTAGCAAATGAGCTTTATAAACGAGCTTTATAAACTTGGAGGGAAAGCTCAAAAAGAACAATATTTACTAGTGGTGCCTACTTTGACCCGAGATATCCAACTTTCTCCACGTTCAACTTTTGTGTTTGAATGAGTGATTGAAAGTGGGGAAGCAGTAGTTGTTAGTGAAGGGTCATTTCTTGGGGTTTGAATGAGAATTTTTGAGTAGAAATCATTCCATTGAGGAAGACAGAATGAGTTTGTCTGAGTGTGTTGGTGGCAAAGAAAGTGTACCATAGAAAGACAGACACAGAGATGATGCACATGGACTATCTCGTTTTGGATGCCAATGTGGCCATCCCATGCCTTTTGTTTTGTTCTATTCAAAGTTTTTTGGTGCTTTTCCAACATGCTTTTCAAAATTTGGAGTCTTTCATCTCTCCCTTTTGTGTGTCTAATAGCTTCGTATACACGAACATAAATATCTGTATCTATATACGTATAGTTCATCGTATTATGAATTCCAAGCACGAGAGGCTTTTGAATTCAAACTGATATTTCTTTTCGAGTGGAATCACGTTCGTTCAAAGCTTAGTTTGAATTGAGATTTGAGTTTTCAATCTATTTTGAGTGTGTTAAATTCGAACAAAACTTTTTAAAATTTATATATTGACCTTAATGAAGAGCTTCCTATTAGATATGAATATTGAATTGAGTTAAATTCGGAAATGTTAGTGGATTGTCATTTTTTTAGCTTAAATCAACCTACCTAACCAACTCGAGAATATAGTTACAATACAATTCTGCTTTTAAGATTATTATGAAAATTTAGAATATTTGACCGCTGTAATAAAGGTTAGTGATGTTTTCTGAAAATAGAGGGTTGGGTTGAGTTGTGATTCTAGTCGCGTTGCTCAGATCACCAACCCAATCAACTTGAAGTTTCGAGTCAATCTAAAATATTTTTCTAACCTAATCTGATTCGTGTAGTTAATAAATAGGTCAGAGCAGTAGCTTTTATAGCTCGATAGAATTATTGGACCTTGATGTCTTTTATAAATGACCATAAAATATTTCTCAATAATTTTGTATCATTTACTATACATTAAATACACAATAAATTATAGTCTTTTAGATCATTGATTTTTACTATTAATATATTATTGATATCTTGACACACTAATAATTTATTTATATAAGTATACTAATAGATACGAGATATATATCGTCTTATCAAAGAGTACCGACTCTTAACCAACCCGTTAAGGCTTGTGAAGTTGGACCCATGAAGGCTAGTGGCCGTTCAATTGTTCGAACATTTTCTTTTCTCCTATTATTAGAGTAGGGTGATTGATTCCGATTCGACAAGGTAAAAAAAAAAAAAAAAAAGACCCATTATGATTAGGACCGCTCTAGCAACGAAATTGAAAATGTTAAAAGAATGCTAACTTAGGTCCATTTTCATTGAAATCGAAGTTGTGCTACATTTGAATATGATGAACCCGACTACACTAATTGTGGCTGGCCCAATAGTTTTCACAATGCTATTATCTTGGTATTAATATCGAACCACTAATCGACATGTAAAGACTTTAATCAACCACTCCGTACACTTGTTATCCGTTCCCTCCCAAAAACCATGAACGATCATTGTGGCCTCAACTAGTCATTTCGGTGACCACAGTGGATAATTACCTTATCAAACAACGTGTATCCGACACAAACACCCTAAATATTAAACATTATTTCATTTTTTTTCCTTAGAAAATATTTAAATAAAGATTTTTTTTAATAAAAAATGAATACAACACATAAAATTTGATTTTAAAAAATTAATTTACCTAAAAAACTTCCATTTTTTTTCTTAATTTACTCTTTATTAAAAAAAAAAAAAAAAACTCTTTTTTTATTTTTTTTTTATTTTTTAAGAAAATAGAATTAAGAATTTATTAGATACAACTTTAAAAATTAAAAATTAAAAAATTAAATTCTTTATTTCTAAAAAATCAAAACCTAGAACCCTACGAAGTCATCAATATCTTAACCTAGGATTACCCGGAAGTAGCTAATATTATATTTTTTATTTAATTTTTACCATCATTTTTATTATTTATTCTCCCACAATTCTTTAAAATAAATGCTCAGAAAATGAATAAATAAATATTTTATAATCTAACGTTTTAGTTTTATTAAAAATAAAAAATTTAAATAAATGATCCGAACAACCAAAATTAACTTAACCAAAAAAAATTTATGGTTGAGTTGAGTTGAGTTCATTATTTAACGAGAGAGCTGTTTGAATTGAAAAAAATTTACCGCTCGAACAATTAGATTGAATCTTAAAATGTCTAAAACCAACCTGATTTAACTCAATCCACGAACTCTCGATAAAAATTAACGACATAATTTAACGAGAAAACGAATTCGGGAAATGAGATTTTTGATGGGGTGTTTTGAAAAAGTGGCCAATGGAACATTAATATGTTTGCACACTTATCAAACCAATTTATTCAAATCTCCACTTTTTGTCGGCTACTTGTCCCTCCACATTTTTTCTCCTTACCCGACCAAGTTCTTGTTTTAAGGCATCAATTCAAGTGTAGTTTGAGTTTAGGGTAGGCGGTACCGAACCCGAGTTTGATTGGACAGCTACACAATTTACGGTTTTTAGCTTTAACAAATGTCTGATCGTATTTTATATGGTTCTTAGCTAAATTTTGTATACGAGAAGGAAATTCTACTCGAATAAAACTCTTGCTTAAGTATGTGTGAGATCCCACATTGATTGTAGATGGGAACGAAACATTTTTATAAGGGTGTGAAAATTTCTTCCCAGTGGACGTGTTTTAAAACATTGAGAGAAACTCGAGAGAGAAAGTCCAAAGAGGATAATATATGCTAGCAGTGGACTTGAGCAACAAATGGTATCAGAACTAGACACCAGATTATGTGTTAGTGGAGGATGTTAGGTTGTGAGATCCTACACGGGTTGGAGAGGGAAACAAAATATTTCTTATAAATGTGTGAAAACTTTTTCCTAGTAAACACGGGAAACTCGAAACGAAAAGCCTAAAAAGGACAGATAGTTACAATATGAGATTGAAGTATTCCCGTTAAAGAAATCCTTAAAAAAACAAAAATTTTCTTAAAGGTTACTGAAACTGTGATGTCCCACATTGATTGGGAGGAGAATAAAACACCATTTATAAGTATGCGTTTTAAAGCCCAAAAGTGAAGTCCAAAGAGGACAATATCGACTAGCGGTGGATCTCGGGTCGTTACAGAAATGATACGATTATCATTAGAAAGAACATGGACCTTAGACAATCGTCATGGAAACAATATATATTATTAAAAGACTTTTTTTTTTTAGTCAAAACAAAAATCTAAAGAAAATAAAAAGGAAATTATTAAAGAAAAGTAGGAAAAAGAAAGGTTTTATGTCACTAATTGGATTTATTTTGTCCACAAAATCCCATTTGTTAAGGTGTCTAATCAAAGTTACATCACCCTTAATATGTCATTACTTCAAGACTATTTTATTAATTAAAAGACCAACCAGATGTACCATTATTTTCAAGGGCTCAATCAATTCTACAGGTGACTGTCTTGAAAATAGTATGAGATTGACATCCGTGTTGGTCCTTCTGTGAGGATAGTGTCTTCACTCTTAGAAATAGGGAGTAAGTAACATGATCATGTCGTATGAGATATAGGAGAATGTCGGAGCTACTAAGTACCGAACCCAGATTTTGAATCTTGAAAACGAGTCATTACAAATGGTATGATTGACACCTCTTTAAGTAAGATGTGGTTCGGGGACGAACCAAAGTTGATAGTGTTAGACGAACACGACTCTGCACAATGGTATGATATTGTCCACTTTGAGCGTAAGCTCTCATGGCTTTGTTTTGGGAAGCCCAAAGCAAAGCCATGAGAGCTTATGCTCAAAGTGGACAATATCATACCATTGTGGAGAGTCGTGTTCGTCTAACATGGTATCAAAGCCATGCTCTAAACTTAGCCGTGTCAATAGATTGACAAATCCTTAAATGTCGAACAAAGGACTCCAAAAGGAGTCAAGCCTCCTCGAAGGTACGAAGGCAGTCAAAAATGACTAAGACTCCAAAGGAGTCGAGCCTCGATTAAGGGGAGGCGTGCTTTGTTCGAGGGGAGGTGTTGGATGATGAAAGTCCCACATCGGTTAATTTAGGGAATGATCATGGGTTTATAATGTAAGAATACACTCTCCATTGGTATGAGGCCTTTTGGGAAGCCCAAAGCAAAGCCATGAGAGCTTATGCTCAAAGTGGACAATATCATACCATTTTGGAGAGTCGTGTTCGTCTAACAGATAGAATAGGGCATGTTGATGAATTT